AACTATTATTATACGCGAACTTCACCAACGGCAGATGATCACTCCAACCTCCCTTGAAGTCCAACACACAAACACGCAACATGTCTTCCAAAATCTTGCTTGGTGACATATGTTCTTTAATTTTTATTTTCATTGAAGTTAGAATATATTATGATGAATGTTCATTTTACATTAGTGAAAATCCGAAAATAAAAGATGTTTCATCCATTAATGTTTTTTTCCATTTTATATAGTTGAAGTTAGGTAAATTAGTGGAAATCAAAAAGTCGAAAATTGGTTATTGATTTGTTTGGAAACCACATTTGGGACATTTCTTGGTCATGGATGATTCATTGTGTTATGGGAAGTCGGAGGTGTAATTATCAAGTCGCGATTCCATGGATGAACTGGTGAAAAAAGTTAATTTTTTATTCAGTTAATTTATTTCTCGTTTCCGTAATTTTTTGTCTAGTAGGCAAATTGGGCAAAGAATCATGTGTGCGAATTGTTTTGCATTTTCCTCGGTAAGGACTAACGAAAATGAACTAATTTCCAATAGATCCAACCCAAAGCATGTCAATGTCCTTTTTGAAAGCACTTGTTTTAAAATTCACAAGCATTATGTTTTAAAGTGCTTTTTGCTTACAATGAAGTATTGATCGTGGTCTGCATGTATTTGCTCCTTATGCTTGCACTAAATTCATAGTTGTTATTGGTGTGAACCGTAGCCTTGTCATTAGTTAAAAAGGTCTTCTAGCCACAGCCTATAGTCCCTCCTCTAAAGGCACTTAGCACTAATTTAAAAAATAAAAGCGATGTTATTGAGACATAATAACCTAACCTAATAAGTTGACTTAACAATGTGCCAGTTGACATGACCTATAAAATTATTATAACTAAAACTTGCTGAATTTTTTTTGTTGTGAACATATTAGCTGCCACATCATTGTATCAATGTTTTAGTCCAGATTGTTGGGTACCAACAGTATTATTCACAAAATATTTGCCTATTAAACTGCTTATGCAATTTGCTCTCACTTTCTCCATTACCTTCTTCGTCCTATACCGAAGAGAGTAAATACATTTGGTTTTAGTTTTTGTATACCCTATCATGTATACGCTTTAAGCTTCCATTTCCTCATAATTTGCCCCTATCAAGGACTCACCCTTCTATTTTGGCTCTCTTTGTGTATATGAGGCGAAGGATTCTCATAAGAAGCTTTAGGAGAACTTATTGTTGAATTGACCAGTTATCAGACTCACCACCTACTGGCCTCAGTAATTTGGGAACAAAAAGCTACATAATAGCACATTCCATTCTTGTACGTGATCAAGTCATTTCAAGAAAGTTTTGTGTCTATTGAGGGATGATTTTTTTACCAGAATAAGATGTATAATTGATGAATATGTGTTAAATTTAGCATGTGCATTGATATTGTTCTATTATAAGCTTAAATGGGTGCTTAATCTGATGATTTGTGACTGTGTGCAGCCATGAATTCAAATCTTGAAACTATTTGAAGTCATGTTTTTTTTTTCAATCTCAATTTTTTGTAGACATAGTTTGGTTGTAGGATAAACCAAAATAAAGTTATAAAATATGGAATGATGATTCCAATGCAGTATGGTGGTGTGGTCTATTGGGTTAAGTGTAACATTATTGATTGCATGCTAAAGTCGTATTACTTTTGCTTCTTTTCAATCGAGTCACAATCAAGAATTTGCAATGCATAAAATTATCATTATTTTTCTAGTTGAATCTATCCTTATTTTTTTGCATTTGTATTCCATTCCTTTTCTGTGCTCTTAAAAAATTATAATTAAAAGTACATGAAAAAATTATAAAAACAATATTATTATCCAAATTCTTTCTATTTCCCGCAATTAAAAAGGTACACGAAAAAATTATAAAAACAATAGTTAAAAGGATAAAATGGAGAACGATGTACTTTTACTAAACATTCTATTAGGTTTAGTCTAGTCAGTGATTTTTTCGTGGTGTTTTTCTTATAAAATGTAATTCATCTATGCTCATTTAGGTAGTAACTTTTAGAGAAAGTACTCTACGACTTTAATTAAAATATTTTGTGTTTAAAATAATCCATATGCAATGCACGTATATACCAACTCATCTATATATATATATATATATACCCTTTCGGCCTTCCTTATCTTATTATTTGTTCTAGATTTGTCTGTATGACAATAGCTTCGAAGGTTTTAAAATTTTGAATTTAACTTATTTCTTTGTTTTTTAATTTGATCATATCATGTGAGACAAAGATACAACTAGGGGTGTTCAAATTTTCGACTGACCGCAACTTTTTACCCTCCCCTATTGAACAGCTAGCCGCAAAAATCGGGTAGGAATGCGGAATAGCTATCAATTTTCACATTTCTACCCTACCTTACCCGTAATAATTTTTTAATATATATATATAAATTAAAAAAACCCTAAACCCTAGCGGAGTAATTATGATTTTAATATATTTCATATGGTTTAAAGTTTAAACTTAAATTAATTATTATTATATTTGTGTAACAATTATGGTGAATTGATATTCATACTTTCTTGTGTTTTATTATAATTTTTGTTGTAGTTGTTTTAAATTTTAGTGTTAATTGATTTATTGTGTTGTTAAATTAGTACATGTTATTTAATTAAATTGTTAAAATGATCCAAAAATTAATTGTTATAAAAATGTTTACCTGACTTTCTATACAATTAATACCACACCTGTCAAGTAAGGTAGGCCAAGAAAAAACTCTTCCGCAAAGTATCGGGTAAGAAGACGGAAAAATATATTTCCTACCCGTATAGTAAGGTGAACACTCCTACATACAACTTGCATTTTAATTATTATAGTTTATTTATCAAATTTTTTTCTTAAAATTACAAAAATTAATTATTAGGGANTGTGAACATATTAGCTGCCACATCATTGTATCAATGTTTTAGTCCAGATTATTGGGTACCAACAGTATTATTCACAAAATATTTGCCTATTAAACTGCTTATGCAATTTGCTCTCACTTTCTCCATTACCTTCTTCGTCCTATACCGAAGAGAGTAAATACATTTGGTTTTAGTTTTTGTATACCCTATCATGTATACGCTTTAGCTTCCATTTCCTCATAATTTGCCCCTATCAAGGACTCACCCTTCTATTTTGGCTCTCTTTGTGTATATGAGGTGAAGGATTCTCATAACCTACTGGCCTCAGTAATTTGGGAACAAAAAGCTACATAATAGCACATTCCATTCTTGTACGTGATCAAGTCATTTCAAGAAAGTTTTGTGTCTATTGAGGGATGATTTTTTTACCAGAATAAGATGTATAATTGATGAATATGTGTTAAATTTAGCATGTGCATTGATATTGTTCTATTATAAGCTTAAATGGGTGCTTAATCTGATGATTTGTGACTGTGTGCAGCCATGAATTCAAATCTTGAAACTATTTGAAGTCATGTTTTTTTTTTCAATCTCAATTTTTTGTAGACATAGTTTGGTTGTAGGAAATATGGAAAGATGATTCCAATGCAGTATGGTGGTGTGGTCTATTGGGTTAAGTGTAACATTATTGATTGCATGCTAAAGTCGTATCACTTTTGCTTCTTTTCAATCGAGTCACAATCAAGAATTTGCAATGCATAAAATTATCATTATTTTTCTAGTTGAATCTATCCTTATTTTTTTGCATTTGTATTCCATTCCTTTTCTGTGCTCTTAAAAAATTATAATTAAAAAGTACATGAAAAAATTATAAAAACAATATTATTATCCAAATTCTTTCTATTTCCCGCAATTAAAAAAGTACATGAAAAAAATTATAAAAACAATAGTTAAAAGGATAAAATGGAGAACGATGTACTTTTACTAAACATTCTATTAGGTTTAGTCTAGTCAGTGATTTTTTCGTGGTGTTTTTCTTATAAAATGTAATTCATCTATGCTCATTAAGGTAGTAACTTTTAGAGAAAGTACTCTACGACTTTAATTAAAATATTTTGTGTTTAAAATAGTCCACATGCAATGCACGTATATACCAACTCATCTATATATATATATATACCCTTTCGGCCTTCCTTATCTTATTATTTGTTCTAGATTAGTCTGTATGACAATAGCTTCGAAGGTTTTAAAATTTTGAATTTAACTTATTTCTTTGTTTTTTAATTTGATCATATCATGTGAGACAGAGATACAACTAGGGGTGTTTAAATTTTCGACTGACCGTAACTTTTTACCCTACCCTATTGAACAGCTAGCCGCAAAAATCGGGTAGGAATGCGGAATAGCTATCAATTTTCACATTCCTACCNGGAATGCGGAATAGCTATCAATTTTCACATTTCTACCCTACCTTACCCGTAATAATTTTTTAATATATATATATAAATAAAAAAAATCCTAAACCCTAGCGGAGTAATTATGATTTTAATATATTTCATATGGTTTAAAGTTTAAACTTAAATTAATTATTATTATATTTGTGTAACAATTATGGTGAATTGATATTCATAATTTCTTGTGTTTTATTATAATTTTTGTTGTAGTTGTTTTAGATTTTAGTGTTAATTGATTTATTGTGTTGTTAAATTAGTACATGTTATTTAATTAAATTGTTAAAATAATCCAAAAATTAATTGTTATAAAAATGTTTACCTGACTTTCTATACAATTAATACCACACCTGTCAAGTAGGGTAGGCCAAGAAAAAACTCTTCCGCAAAGTATCGGGTAGGAGGACGGAAAAATATATTTCCTACCCGTATGATAAGGTGAACACTCCTACATACAACTTGCATTTTAATTATTATAGTTTATTTATCAATTTTTTTTTTAAAATTACAAAAATTAATTATTAGGGACGGGAATTAGGATTAAAACTTGTCTCATTAATGGAGTAGACCGAAAATAGATGAGAATTGGGATTCAATCTGGTAGTGGTAAAAGTAGAATTACTTGTAGAGCAAGCATTAAAATTCAACTGCACCATCCAGAAATAAATTCTTATGTCCCACTTCATTGAATTTGCAGTTCCAAAAAACAATGAATCAATCATATTTTTATAGTTAAAATGAAACAAACCTGTTTTTCACAATCAAATTGTCTGGTTTTAAATTCACATCAAGATGATCAAATGGGCATGGAGTTCTCTACAGTTGTTCCAACATGCTGAATAACAAATCCAAAGATCTTGCTCTTCAAGCGCTCGATCTTTTCAGTCAGAAGCTCATCCCCTTTTTCAACCACACGATCCAACCAGCTGTTGACTCGCTTCAACTGCGATAAAATTGGGCCACAATGCAAAGCACTATTGCTAGTAGTACACTTATCAAATACTTGAAAACCTGCATCAAGGGATTGCTCAACAAACCGCAAGAACCATATTTGCATCTCTGACTGCAAATTCGTTGCAAGTTTTAGTGTCTCATTCATTCCGTGACCTCTTGTCCAGGTCCCATCTAGTGATGAAGAAGCCAACACAATATTCTTGGCGGGTGCATTGTGGGACTGTCGTTTTGATGAACATTTCTGCAATGCCTGTGGAGGCTCAATGTTTTCGCTGGTCAAGAGGGATACAACCTCAAGATCAGTGGCCAGAGCAGCTTCAACCCAAATAGAAAATTTTGAATTGGTTGGGGCACTAGCAAGGGGGGTGTTGGAAATGCGGTTGGTGGCAATTGATTCAGCAGTGGCGGCTGTTAATTTCACAACATTGTCGTAAATTGACATAAATTTGTCAATAGTGGGCAAAGGATTTCCAGCCCTTGATGTAGCACAGAGCTCCGAAAACATGCTGGCAGTAGAAAAAGATAACAAAATCATGCTTTCATCAAGCTGTAAAAGAACATTACACAGGTTCTGCTAATCAAGTTGAATCACAACACAATGATAAGTTTTGACCTATTGATATCATCATGGTAGTAAAGAACAGTAAAAAACTAGTGTACTTCCTCGAATCCAAAATTTCTTTCCATTAGTCTACAACAGAGCTCATCACCTAAACTGGTTTGCTTTCTAATAGTTTTTCATTTCAAGAAATTCAAAGAAAAGCACAAAAAATATATGTAATGGCATTTGGTGGCAGGTTTGTGATAGTGCTAAGCGGGTAGTATGCAAAAGCAACTTTGGCTAAAAGACCAAAGAGCACTTTTCATAACAAACCCTCTTGAAACACACAACCGGTACTATGATGCCATCATTCTTCATGTGGGAAGAAATTATTTTGCATGGCTTTGAATGGCAAGACACCCCTGCAGGTTTTTTCAGAGCCAAAAAAAGTGATGGGTTTTGTATCACCCCTTCTGGGTATTACATTGTTAGGTTTTGTGATCATTATGAGCCTGAAAACGTACTTTGCAGGGGAAAAAAACAGCTTGAAAACATATGGTGATGGTAGAGGGAAAACTAAACCAAGATACACCTGTTGACTCTCCCAAGGTTTCCAAATCCCACAGGGTGAGATGGTTGGATAAAATGGAAGTCCATCTTCATATTTATAGGGTAGTCAACAAGAATTATGGACTAACAAGCTCGAGTTGGAGGCTCGAGCCCTTGTGAGCCTCTGATAGTTTTATCGTGCTAGCTCTACAGGATATGCCACATTCAATTTTTTTGACATTCTAGTCGTGTACAAAAGTGTGTGTGGTCTCATGTGTGCTCGCGTTCGTGTGTGAGAAAGAAATACGCTTACCTCAAATTCCTTACAATAGACTCAGTGGCAATTGCTTCTTCCAATGCTTCAGCTGCCGCTGCTGCAGCAATAAGCCTCCTAAGCATGGCCTCCTGCAATCAATTGAAGTGTGACAGAATTCAATTTTCAGATGTGACAGAAAGAGATAGAATTCAACTGCTTGCCTTTTTTTCTCATCAAGTTTGAAGCGAATATCAGGTTAACCTGCCTGACTAATAACTAAAAGCCAAGTTCTTTTTTTTTCTTTTTAGATTGGTGCCGAGAATCCAAGATACTAAAAGGGCTTGAAATCATTTTGAGTGTCATTTATCTGGAAACAACTTCACTATGCTAATCTTCATTCATACCTTCCCAAGCTTCGCAAGGTCCGAAGAGACTGCATCCAGGGGAACACTGCCATCTGTCCATTTCTTCTCATGAACAGTAATTCCTGGAGCTGCATAGGTTGGCTTCTCAGGCGCCAGACTGCTTTCAGCTAAGCTAGATTTTGATTTTTCTTTGGTGTTAGAATCATCCTGACTCGGTTGTCGGCCATTCACATCACTTAAACGCCTAGCAATAGCAGCCTGGAAAATTGCATGCCAAAAGCACCAGTTAGAAGATGAAGCATCCCATCATAAGTTTGTTAGGGGTAATCTAACAGACAAACAAAGAAGAAATAGCAAAAGAATAACTTAAATAAAGGAAGTAGAAGTCTCACTCGCAGAGGCCAGAACTTATTTTCACACTACATATAATTTAGTAAAAATCAGATCAAAACCAGCAACTTTCATTGCCAGACTACAACGATGCTAAGGATTGGGGAGACTGCTAAGGTAAACAACTTAATGGGGCTGGCTGCAAGAAAATGTCTACTGTCTCGGTACAGAACTTGATCCATTAGAATGATTCAAGCATTAAAACTTGTATCTTGTGTACCAACCACAAAAGAGTTGTGGGGGGGGGGGGNAATGTGAAATTCAAAGTTGCCAAACAATATAATTGTTCTTAGATACTGTTTCTGAAGAACAAAATAGAGCTAGGGGATAAACTAAAACCACACAAATTGTAGTAGTTTTCTGCAAAAATAGTGTAAGCCACTGAGAAGAAAACACTCAGAAGGTCAGAAGCCAATGTAGTTTCATGAGACTTCAACGTTGGGGCCTCTGTTAAATGTAGGCGGAGAACAGGAATAAGAAGCCCACTCTAACTCCTTTCTATTGTTGGCAACATTTTGAAAGCAATAATAATGCAATCCTATTACAAATACAAAGGGATATTAAGCATGTGCAATNCGTTGGGGCCTCTGTTAAATGTAGGCGGAGAACAGGAATAAGAAGCCCACTCTAACACCTTTCTATTGTTGGCAACATTTTGAAAGCAATAATAATGCAATCCTCATTACAAATACAAAGGGATATTAAGCATGTGCAATGGAAATTGTGTTCAGCATTAGATGCTTATTTGGCATGATTATGTGAAATGAAGGCTAATCAATGAACCAATAAAGAGAAGTAATTTTAACTATTAAAGAACCAGATTTCTGACTATTTGAGGAACGATCATATGATGCTGGTAGCTGAAAGTGAACACTGGCATCACTTGGTCTCCCAACCATTCAGGAACACAAGAATCGAGCTCTTCTGTACAAGTTAGAGCAACCTAATTTCCTATGAACGTAACAGCCTACCATGATACCACGAATCAATTTACAAATTACCTTGTTTTTTTTTTAATTCTCATTTTACAATAGTTTCCCACTTATTTTGCAAACTATCACTGTTTTTATGAAAGTTTGGTTTGAATATTTGGTGTATTAAAAGATTTTTGCACGCAAACAAAGACTGAGCAATAAACTAGAAACTACCGTAGAGATAGAATTAAGAATGAAAAGGACAATAATTTGGGGAAAAAACTCCGACTATATGGTTGAACTTTAACGGTCCTACAGCTCAATCACACAACCCACTCAGAGTGAGAACAGCCAATCTCATTGCATAAGGCTGAGCAATATAACAAGATAACATCTATTTTAGGATTATGACACCATTATGGGTGAACCCACACACACCCCCCCCTCCCAAAAAAAAAAAAAACATAAGGTCTGAATTTTCTGACAGTCACATCTACAATGTATGATCCAATGAGAGAGAAAACGATGAAGAATCCACAGTATAACCAAGACTGAGTAAAGAGAATCACCTGAGTCCTCAAAATTGCTTGCAAATCAGGCTTATTCTTTGCACCACCCTTCTCTTTCTGCTCCACAGAACCACCCGCCACGCCTGGCGACTCATCCCAACTCTTCCTATTACTCTTTCCAGACCCAACAAGAGCCTCGGAAACCTTCGAAATCCCAGCAACAATGGTGGCCATCTTCTTCCTCCCGACCGAATCCACCGCCCCAACGACAGGCGAAACTTTAAGTCCACTCGACAACCTCCGGCCAGGTGACAACGACATCCTCCTCGTACTCGGACTCGCCTGTTTCCTCCCGTTCGGACTTGGCTGCCGGTACCTTGACGGCACTATAATCGCCGGCTCTTTTGCCGTCTTCCGGTTTTCCTCCTTAGCTGCCACTAAGCTCGGAACCACACACTTGGACGGCGCTGGTGACGACGACCTCTTTTTCCCTGCCGGGGATGGGTCCAGTTCCGCCACCGTTACCGGATTCTTCTTCCCTGCCGATACCGACCTCTGATTCCTCACCGGCACCGGCGAACAGAATCTCTGAGAAGGCTTTTCCTTGTCCAACCCACCACTCTTCGATTCATCCGACAAATTTACATTCCCATTATTATCTCTTGGCGCAAGGACTTGTCTAGTCCTGACCTCACTTTTCTTCTGCCGAACATCGTTCTGCCCATCTGGGTGTTTCTTGTTTGATAAATAGGCGGCAATTGGGTCATTGGATTGATCTGAATCCGACACGGGTTGAATTATAAACTCACGCTTGGTGGGTGATATGCGGGCAATGAGGGGCTCCGGCGATCCGATGAATTGGTGGCGGCCGGCGATGGGTCGAATGTTGACAACAGTTGGGACAGGGGAATCGAACTCGAGGCGGTCAACGTATGCGAATTGACCGAGTTGGAGGCGGTTGGTGAGGATCAAATCGGTGTCTTTGTCAGAGAGAGAGGCGTAAGTGGAGTTAAGGGAGTCGGAGAGTTGGAGATAGAACCCGTGGTTGGGGTAGAGCGAGTTGGGATTGGAAAGGGCAGGGAGAATTCCGATGACCTGAAGAAGTGGGGACCGGTGGTCGCCGGTGACCCGGGTGTTCGAGTTCATGGACTGAAGGAGTTTCAGGAGGATTCCAGGAGTGAGGGACGCCATTTTTGTGCTGTAATCTTTGGAGAGAGAAACTAGAGAGAGGGTGAATTTTGGGGCTTTGGGATATGTGTTAAAGGGATGTGAAGAAGAGATTGAACATGGTGGTGGATGTGGTTTCAGAGAGAGAGAGAATGGGGGTGGGACTTGGGACGAGCTGTGAGCGAGTGTAAAGAGGGTTTGAATAAGGTGACAGAGTGAATGTGGCCGTTACGAGATTTCAATTTGAAAAAGCCCGCTGTTGTTATACTGTGTACTATTTTTTGAAGTTTGAATTTCAGGTGGGGACCACGCGAGGGATGTAACGGCTACCGGACGCGTAGATAACGTGGGGGTGGTAGACAGAGGTTAAATTTACGTATAAAGATGTGTGGTACAAATTGTTGTTTAAATTTTATATTTTAATTAATGTGTCAAAATTTTACACATCAAATATATGTTCGAATTAGTAGTCCTCATTAATTCAATTACTTGCATTAATTTAAAATACAAAATTTAGACAAATACTTACATTGATTTAAAATACAAATTTTGGACAAATACTTGTGTAGGGTAGCATTATTCTAGAGTTATTAGGGTTGAATCTAGGGATGCAAGGTCAATTCTAGCTTAATCTTATGTATATAATCTTCAATTATAATCTTAACTTTAACCNACAAATTTTGGACAAATACTTGTGTAGGGTAGCATTATTCTAGAGTTATTAGGGTTAAATCTAGGGGTGCAAGGTCAATTCTAGCTTAATCTTATGTATATAATTTTCAATTCTAATATTAACTTTAATCCTATCTCAACCTGAGTACTGCTCGAGTTTAATTCGAGTGGACTTATGTTGAATTCGAGTTATTTAATTCAGACTAATTTTGGGCTAAAAATTGGGTTGTGCTTGAGTTATTTAATTTGGGTTAATTTTTTGAAATATAGANGTTGAATTCGAGTTATTTAATTCAGACTAATTTTGGGCTAAAAATTGGGTTGTGCTCGAGTTATTTAATTTGGGTTAATTTTTTAAAATATATATTTAATTTTTTCAAATGTAGATCTGATTTTTTCAAATGATCTGATATGAGAGGTGAGACCTAGATGAAGAGAGAGAAAGTGAGAGAAGGAGGAGTGAAGAGTGAGAAAAGACAATTGAGAGTATGAGACGACTCAGAATAATNAAAATATATATTTAATTTTTTCAAATGTAGATCTGATTTTTTCAAATGATCTGATATGAGAGGTGAGACCTAGATGAAGAGAGAGAAAGTGAGAGAAGGAGGAGTGAAGAGTGAGAAAAGACAATTGAGAGTCTGAGTCGACTCAGAATAGTGACAATTAAGAGAAAGGGAGGAACGATGAGCGAGAGAGAGATCTAAGAGTGATGTAAGCGCAAGATAAAGATTTGAAGTGAAGTAAAAGTCTGAATTCCAAAGAGTACAGATAAATACTATCCTTAGTTAAATATATTTATGTACATTCAGATTGAATCCGATTTAATAATCGGATTGAACTCGATTTTAATATTCGGGTTAAATCCGACAATCTGAAACCTCAACCCGAGGCTTACTCAAATTCAATTCGGGTTGAAATTTTTTTTTCACAAGCCCAACCCCTGTATTAAAAATTCTAATTCAAGCCTTATTTTTTTTAAATTGAACTTGGATTAAATTCAAATTAGTCCGTCTAAATTACAACCCTAATTGAAACGAAGGATACGCCGAATCAACAATCAGGTGGTACTAGTTTGAAGAAATGACCGAGGAGAATCAACCTCCAAATCCAATCCTTTGCTCTCCAAACTGAATTCATCTGGAGTTGGGTTGACCTCGGAAGGTTAAATTTTGACGTTATTTTGTATTCAACATTCTTCGTCACAAGATGATTGACACGGGTCTTTCCATCACGTGGCTTGTGCCATGTACACTCATTGAAAGATTTAATTTTACACAATCGTTCTNATCCAATCCTTTGCTCTCCAAACTGAATTCATCTGGAGTTGGGTTGACCTCGGAAGATTAAATTTTGACGTTATTTTGTATCCAACATTCTTCGTCACATGATGATTGACACGGGTCTTTCCATCACGTGGCTTGTGCCATGTACACTCATTGAAAGATTTAATTTTACACAATCGTTCTGAGCACCTTCAACTATGAAATTGAAATATTTTGATTTAGTAACAAAACTTTACTTGCTATATTTTTATTGGATAAAAAAATAAAAGTGTAATATAGATAAATTATTTTTCGATACCATTGTTGGACTCATTTAATTAAAGGAATAGTTGGATCCCATTCACCACCATTGTAACTTACTCGTGATATATTAAAGAAAATCCACTTATAAATAATATATTTTACTTGAATCCATTATGGGATATATGCCGCTGGAAAAATTAGAGAAAAATATACTGGAAAGGATTGAGTTTGAACCAGTTTGCAAGAACAGTAGTATATGAAGTAGGTCTCATTTGAATACTGGGCTGGATTTTGTTATGGACTTTGTTATTTCTAAGTCCAATTATCATATTGGGCCATCCAAACCACTTCTTGGACCACTCTAGGTGGAGAAAAACAATAATAAAGTAATAACAATAAATAATTTTGAATTACATAATTTATAACCATGATCGAAAAAATAATAAAGTTACTATAATAATAGTTAAGTAAAATTATACATGTATATTTTTATTAGTTGAACAGTCAAGTTTTGGAGCTGATAAGAAGTAACATTTTTTCATTACATATAAACTGCTCGTCCCAAAGCTNTTTTGAATTACATAATTTATAACCATGATCGAAAAAATAATAAAGTTACTATAATAGTTAAGTAAAATTATACATGTATATTTTTATTAGTTGAAAAGTCAAGTTTTGGAGCTGATAAGAAGTAACATTTTTTCATTACATATAAACTGCTCGTCCCAAAGCTGAGATTAATAAAAGCTCCCCCCAACCCCTCCAACCAAAAAACAAAAACCTAAACAATCACCCACCCCAAAAAAAAAAAAAAAACAAAAAACAAAAATACAAAGAAAGAACAATAGAAAGCACTGTTTGGAAAAATAGAGCTGAACCAGCATCAAATACATGAAATCCGAAATTGACTATGAGATCAATACTACTCTTGAACTGGCTTTAGGCTTTATCTAATATACGATTTCATTCTTAGGCACAAAGAAAATGACAGATTAATCACATTAATAAACCCCTCCCATTTGTGTTGGCTGAAAACAAAGGAGGACAGGTGGACATGGGAGGAGCAGTTGGTGGGCGACCAATTTCTTCATTGGTCTTCTCAGTTTTCCTGGGCAAAAGTTCAGAGGCTAATTTCAAGCCAACAATGAAGTGGATTTTTCTACAAACTCAATGCAGAACGTTATACGGTTCCAAAACTGCAGCAATTGATCTCAGAAGTACCAGAAGGGGGAAGCGCCAAAAGCGCAGGCTTCCGGGAGCAGGGGGCTGGATGTTAATAATATGAATAATTTTGGAACTAACACAACGAATGCTGGTCTTCCTTGTGCCCTGGTGATTTTTGGTGTGATTCGGCCATTTCATTTTGGACCACGGAAACATAGAAAATGTTCAATTGACCACTTGAAGAGATGTGAAGTAAACTAAATGTCATGATCTGTTTCTTTTCTCTTCCCTTTTTTTTTCCTTGAGTTTTGAGAAGACGAAAGTNTGACCACTTGACGAGATGTGAAGTAAACTAAATGTCATGATCTGTTTCTTTTCTCTTCCCTTTTTTTTTTTCCTTGAGTTTTGAGAAGAAGAAAATGAATAAGGCCACTGAACAGTGAAAGGAAACAAAAGGGTCTTTTTCTTGCCCTTATATTCTGATTTTATTCGTAATATTAGGCAACAAAGAATAGGAAGAACATGAGGAATACAAGCAATACGAAGAATATCTTGATCATCAGCCATCTGTTGGAAGATATACCATTGAGGTACCTTACCAGTTGCCCCTGTGCCCCTTCAACATTTGCCAGAGTATCTTCCATGTTCTCATCAATCCTGCAGTGTCAACAGTGTCCAGTGAGTTTTGAATCCAGATAGTTACCCACAAGAGCATGATATCTAGATGTAAGTGGCGATGAGTGAGGGTAGCCATAAAATGCAAGTTTAATATCCAATATTGACATGACACATTCACTCCTACAGTAATAAACTCCAACACAACTGATGGCAATCACTAGCTTGCAACATATAGCATACCGAAAAGTGTGAATTAGTCCGTCACAAAAATCACAGCCAAGCAAGTTGAGCAATCTATGGCATGATATTATTAGCTGCTGACATATAGTGCACTGCCAGAGAGGTGCCAAACCTACCTTTGAAAGGTTGTTTACGATCTCTTTTGTGAAAAGAAATGCAAGGAATTTTACATACAAGTAATGAACAAAATTACAACAGAAAGTTGTGTAGTGTCAGCAGACTCAGCACAAGTGCCTCTAGCTGATATGCATATTATCAAGTAGAATTAGCATACCAACCTAATCGCAAGTTCTCCTTGCTGAGAAACCATGGTTGCCAATTGAGTAAAGATGTTGCTCAACTCATGAATAGTTGACTCAACATTGTGAAGAGCTTCAGCTCTACTCTGCATATAACTGTCCTGTAAAGGAACCAACTGTTGCTGTTGTTGATTTTGTTGCTGTTGTAGCAATGGCTGAGATTCCCCATCTGCCTGCTTACTGAAGTAAAAATAAATAAGCAGCAGAGTCCTAGTTAAAAAGTTGTCCCCAAACAAAGTTAAAGTTAAATGTTGTCTTCATGAAATATGAGCCAATTAAAACATTTGTGAGGAAGACAAGTCATCAGGTGTTCAGAGACTCTAGATTATGATTAGTGTTAGCACCGCTACTACACATATAGTCCATATAATGGAGGTAATGTCCGAAACACCACCAACATATCAGATAAATTCATTCCTTCAGACCAAGTTAAGTTGATCTTGATTCTTTCATGTTATCCGTGAAGCTTGAATATGGCTGATTTTATCACAACCGAGCTCAAGCTGAGCTTGAGCAGATTCTAGACTCCTACAAGCCAAGTAAGTCGAGCTATTAGCTGCTCATAAGTGATTCATTTTCACCCCTAGCAGCAACCATTGATGACAACAGGAATCACAAATTTCTAATTATTGCCAAATAGAATTTTCCTTTGACCCCACAAAAAGAGAATGAATTGCTTTCCCAAATGGCCATAGTATGTCTGGTTGGAGATAAAATGGCCATATGCCCACAGGCTAGGCCTTTCCATGTCTTTTCCTTCACCCATGGAAAGGAGACAATGACAATAAATAACTTAGACAATGGCCTAATCCATATCACAAATTGATTAATTTTCACCATCAAGAAGTATTAGAACCACACACATGAGGTTTCATACCAAACCAGTGAGAGCATTCAAAAGGTTGGAGGCTCAAAAACGAATTTCCGAGTTTCTAAGATCCAAATCCTAGTGAGGCAATCCTCACCCCTTCTGCAGAAAATTATATAGACAAATAACAGATGCAAAAATTGTGAATCACCTCACAACTTATTCCTAAAGATTTCATCTTTACCTTGGAAACAACTGCGATGAAGATCCAGATCCATTGGCCCATGGAGGGGGAGACATTGATGCACTAGCAGCTGATCTGGTAGCTAAGGGACGCTGGCGAACGAAAGGATTAGCAGCCTCTTTTGAAGCAGTTGAAGAAAACAATTGCCTTCTATTCTCGTGAACCTTCAAATTCTGCAGCAAAAAATAAGTTTTGACAAATATGACAGATGCAGAAATAAAGTACTCGTGCTGAAAGAGAAAGTATAATATGAATCACAGCTCTACTAGCCATGCGATGCAGTGACAATCTATACACCTCTGTCCGCAGAGTAAGGACTTCCTTGAATTCTTTTGTGGCACTCATCAAGCGATTCTTCAGGTTGTCAACAACTGTGGTTGAATGGGTGGTGGTGTCACTTGATATGTTTCCACTGTCGTTTTGGGAGTTGCACAGGAGCTGCAGATCCACTACAGCTGAGTTGAGTGCAGTAATATCCTGCTTGACTACAGCTGTCAACTCTTGGATCTCCATAGTTGGATCATCAAAAACTGATGTTCTCTTTGCCACTGTAAGGAAAGAACCACGTAAATTTATTTTTCTCAAAACTTCTGTGTACATAAATGTATAATACATATAGCCATCATCAAGAATATTTGCACCAAGCACATCCACACACGTAGTATATGAACATGTAGAACATGTTTTTGTAATATACAAATTTAAAAGTTTACACTTGATGGCACTTCGGTTCCTGAAGTTTTAATTATGTGTGGTTGATACCTTAAATTCAAATTTGTGTTTACAAGGTGCAATTGTAAACTTCCATCTACTAACCTGACCTAATTAGACACATATTGGTCTGAATTGCTTAATCCTATTAGGTTTAACAGAAGTTCACAATTGTTGTGTCTATATTTTTTGGAGCCGAGAGTGGTAATGCCTCTAAACTAAAATATGAACACTCCACCATTGGCGTACCTTTCTTGCTTAAAAAACCTTCGATGAGGAAGCCACTGTGGTAGCTCCAAAATATACACAAACTTTTTGAAACAAAACATACAAAACTTCTCATTGGTGTAGCCTCCAGGCGATTAGATTTCATATACTATTGATTATACACTTTACCTATCATACCTTATTCAACAAATATACAGCGTTCTGATAGAATTGATAGTTTTAAAACCATACCAACAGTTGCCAATTCAACTATACACTACATTTTCCAACAACGCGATCTAAATTCTAAAAATATCTTCATGTTATAGCTAAAGTAATTAATCTAAATCGCGATAAATAGAATAAAATTACAATTTCTCTAACTCAGTTATTTACATTTACAAAACTACAACGCGCATATAATATACAAACACATACATATATGCATATATGAACAACGGCAATTGAATTGCTCACATTTAGCAAGCTTTGCAAGCTTCTGCGAGGTCTGGTGAATCCCAAGCCCGATTTTCGAAGCCCTCCTGTTGAACTCCGACTGGATCGGCACCGCCGACCACGGTGCATCGGCCTTCGAACCACTACTACTTGGCCCGGCATTGGATCCGGATGAAAGTGACTTGTTTAGCTTCTCAGCAACATTCTGGAACTCCTGCGTCCGATCTCTATACGAAAAGTGCGTCGATTTCATATGCATTCTATATCAATTTACAAGTATTCAATCGGATTAATTGGGTGAAACCCTAGATCTGATAAGAACCGGCATTGTATGACCTATTGAAAAGGACCGAGAAGATCTGGATAGTGCGCTGATGATGCAAGAGTGTGTGTGTGTGTGTGTGTGAGAGAGAGAGAGAGAGAGAGAGAGAGAGACTACAGACAATTTTAACCGTCGGAATTTGAGGTGTTTATGGGAGTCCAGGAGCTTTGTTTCTTACCTGCCGGGTATTCTTCTTGACCCGTATCCGATAGTTTGGGAATTTATCCAATTATATTAGACTAGATAAATTTAAAAAGTAGATTTAAAATATAGATTTGATGATGGACTGTTGATGTGTACCAGTCATGTCATCATTTTTTTTTAAAAAAAAAATAGATTTTAAAAAAGAGTAATGCTAGACATAATTAAAAAATAGACTTAAAATATAGANATTATATTAGACTAGATAAATTTAAAAAGTAGATTTAAAATATAGATTTGATGATGCGACTGTTGATGTGTACCAGTCATGTCATCATTTTTTTTTTAAAAAAAAAATAGATTTTAAAAAAGAGTAATGCTAGACATAATTAAAAAATAGACTTAAAATATAGATTTTATGACGTGACTGCTGATATATACCAACCATGTTATCAGTTTCTTTCCCAAAAAAAAAAAATAGATTTTAAAGAAAGATTAGATTTTATTCTCTTCGGACCCAATCCTTCCATCTTCGATTTCATAGCCATAAGATTTCTTTATCAGCTCCTCCCTACCCCTTTTTTGTTTTAAAAAAAATTGAACCCAAAAAATCAGGTTTTTTCCATAGCCACATCCGAAATCGAAGCCTTAACGTAACTCTCCCTTTCCCTACGCTAAAACTCGCCCACAGAACACACCTAGAATGCAGTCAGAATTTCATAACTCCAGCAATCGACGCTGGCCATGAACACAATCGTCTTTCGAGAGCTTCGATCAAGATTTGGAGTAAACAATTGCTTCAATTAAGATTTGGAGTAAATAATTACTTTGATCACGTTTCTCCTCCACTCTTTACCTCTTCGCTGGAGTAGACAATCATTTGAAGCCTTTGCAGANTAGAATGCAGTCAGAATTTCATAACTCCAGCAATCGACGCTGGCCATGAACACAATTGTCTTTCGAGAGCTTCGATCAAGATTTGGAGTAAACAATTGCTTCAATTAAGATTTGGAGTAAATAATTACTTTAATCACGTTTCTCCTCCACTCTTTACCTCTTCGCTGGAGTAGACAATCATTTGAAGCCTTTGCAGAAAACAATTGCTTCGATCAATATTTTTGTAAGTGTCCCCATCTCTTTTTTTGCTCCTTTGTTGCTTTATTGTTACAACATATTGTTTTTTGTTATGAATTTCTCAAGCCTAGATTTTTTATTAATGATTAATTATGTTTATTGATGTCTTAGATTTGAATTCATTGAAGAACCGATTTTCTCATAAGTTTATTGCATCTTTTTACTTTTTAATATTTTATCCATTTATTTTTGTTGGTGATTTTGGAGCATAAATATATTATTTTTCTTGTCANTTTGTTATGAATTTCTCAAGCCTAGATTTTTTATTAATGATTAATTATGTTTATTGTTTTAGGATGTCTTAGATTTGAATTCATTGAAGAACCGATTTTCTCATAAGTTTATTGCATCCTTTTACTTTTTAATATTTTATCCATTTATTTTTGTTGGTGATTTTGGAGCATAAATATATTATTTTTCTTGTCATGTTTAGACATATATTGTATTTAAGAAATCTTTGATTAATCAAAGAGGCACTTGGTGGGGTTAATTTTTTTTAGAATAGAAGGAGAATGTTCAAGTAGTTTGCAAATGATTGATAAAAATGATGAGACTAAAATATAGAATGTGGTCGACGTAGATGAGCCTAAGGTTGGGATGATGTTTGAAAGTGAAAAAGAGTTGTTTAACTACTACACAAATTATGACAAGTGATTGGGATTCCCAGTTAAGATAAGATCATCAACAAAAAGAGATGATGGTGAGCTGAAATATTTGACGATTTGTTGTTCTCGATCAAGAAAGTCAGAGTGCAATTCCAACAATCTTTTCAAACTGTGTCCAAGCATTAGAACAGGTTGTAAGGCTAAGGTTCTAGCAATTTTATGTGCTAATAGAAAGTGGCGACTGAACACTGTCATGCTTGATCATAATCATGAGGTGAGTCTATGCAAAGCTCGATTCTTTCGTTGCAATCGAGTAATGAGACCAAATGTAAAAAGGAAGCATGAATTGAACGATAGGACNTAATAGAAAGTGGCGACTGAACACTGTCATGCTTGATCATAATCATGAGGTGAGTCCATGCAAAGCTCGATTCTTTCGTTGCAATCGAGTAATGAGACCAAATGTAAAAAGGAAGCATGAATTGAACGATAGGGCAGGGATTAAAATAAATAAATTTTTTAATTCATTTGTGGTTGAAACAGAGGGGCATGAGAATATCTCTTTTTTAGAGAAAGATTGTAAAAACTACATTGACAAAATAAGGAGTTTACGGCTTGGGGAAGGAGATGTTTCTGCGATACAGAATTACTTTTTAAAGATGCAAGGTGAAAATGCAAACTTCTTTTATATAATGGATTTGGATGACGAGGGTCGGTTAAGGAATGTGTTTTGGGCTGATGCAAGAAGTAGGGTTACATATGAGGAATTTGATAATGTTTTTACGTTTGATATAACATATATGACAAATAAGTATGACATGCCTATTGCTCAATTCGTAGGTGTTAATCATCACAGGTAGTCAACTTTGTTTGGATGTGATTTGATCTCCAATGAAGATACAAAAACTTTTAGTTGGTTATTTCAATTATGGCTTGCATGTATATCTGGAAAAACTCCACGTTCCATAATAACTGACCAAGACAAGGCCATGAAGAAAGCAGTTGAGAATGTTTTCCCTAATGCTAGGCATCGGTAGTGCCTATGGCACATCATGAAGAAATTACCTGAAAAGTTGAGAGGTTATAAACAATATGATTCCATCAAATTTTTCTTGCAAAGAGCCGTTTATGATTCATTAAGTTGTACTGAATTTGAGGAAAGTTGGAATGGAATGATTGAGAAGTACATGCTACATAACAATGACTAGTTGAGTGAACTGTATAGTGAGAAGCGTCGTTGGGTGCCGATCTTTGTGAAATGTCTACCACACAACGAAGTGAGAGTATGAATTCATTCTTTGATGTGTATGTCAACTCTAAGACTACCTTAAAGCAATTCGTCGAACAAAATGAAAATGCTTTGAAAAGTAAGGTGGAGAAGGAGAACGAGGAATAATTTAAGTTTTTCTTTTCGCAAGTCCCTTGTGTAACCCATTATGACATGGAGAAACAAGTTCAAATGACTTACACCATCTCAAAATTTAAGGAGTTCCAAAATGAATTGACAAGGAAGATGTACTGTGATTTGACTTCGGTCAAAGTGGATGGCTTGATTTCTGACGAATTGCTTATGTGAGGATATCATGATTGAAGAGAAAAGAAAGAGTGCAAATTTTAAGGTTTTGTTTAATGAAAAAGATTGTGAAGTGAAGTGCAATTGTCGCTTGTTTGAGTTTAGAGGAATATTGTGCAGGCATGCCGTGACAGTGTTAATCCGTAGAAAGATTTGCTTACTTCCGGATAAATACATCGTACAAAGATGGAGGAAGGATGTGAAAAGATGTCATACAAAAATTAAAATTAGTTACGATTGTTGGAGTGCCACACCTGAAGCACAACGATTAGATAAAATGTGCAATGCTTTTAATGAGGTCGTAGACTTAGCAGTAGATTCTAAAGATAAGTGCACATTTGTGATGGATTGTATACATGATTTAAAGGAGAAATTACAGAAATACAAAGGTGGTTCTACAAGTTATGAACCAAGTCCCAACTCAACTGTTGATAGAAACTCTGATGGTGATGTAAATGATATATCAAAGGAGAGGAATATACTTACTTTATTGACAGTTTGAAGCAAAGATCGTCCACCATTCAAAAGGAAGCAGTCAAAAGTAGAGCAAGTTGCTAGGAAAAAGAAGGAAACGAAAAAAAAGAAGACAATATCTCATGAAAATTATACTACTAAATAAAAATTATTCACATTCTTTGTAACATTTATTATTTATTAATTAATTTATATTTTTTAGGATTCCCTCCCAACTAAAAGTGATGCCATTGGTCATATTGATGGTCAACCCACTAGTAAAGTGGTTGACGTATTTGGAACACAAGAGAACATTATTGTGATGGTATGACATAACCATCATATTTGGAATTGTAATAAATTTTTTTAATGTATTGGTTAATTTCATACTTGGAATTAACTAAAATGTAGGATTCGAAAACTATCAAAAGTGGTAATGTTGCCAAAAGTGATGATCAATACTCCAATTTGCCTCTTTATAATGTAAGTTGTGAAAGTTTATTTGTAATTAATCTGTTGTAATTTTGTAGTAATCTGTTGTAATTTTGTAATGACAGAACAATTTGGCCTTATTATTGGGAGTCACTCAAAGAGGTCATGAAAACCAATCATATGGGGTGGAAAACTATTTCATGGTTAGCAATCTAACATTAGTTTTAGAAATTCTATATCTTTTTTGTTGTTTATACTATAATGTCAATTTATGAAATTTCTTATTTTTTTGGTTTAGAATAACCAATATCGTCATTGGAATGGTGAATATGACATGCAACATATGCCTTCTTCTAGCTGAAAAGAAGTAGTAAATAATCCAGAATTGCCAGTTCCATCTTCAACATCACCGTCAAATGGCAAGTAGATTTGGTAAGTTGAAAAGAATTTTGTAAAAAGTCTTTGTCATTTATTCAAGAGTTGAGTTTTTATTTTTATTTTTCCTATGTCAGATATGTAAAGGAGGAACCCTTCGTCAAGATGTGCAAGACAAAGATTGTAGTATTTTGTGTCCTTATGTTACCCAAAATTGAGTTGTTCTATTATTTTTGAATACTCATGATTTGATAATAGGACTTAAGGGTTGGATTTTGTAGCGACAATTTTATTTTAAACAATTTTTCAATGAATTATTTGTTGGATTTTTTTTGTTTCAAACATGTGATCTTTGGCAAATAGAGCAGTTCAAGATGGTTTTTCTTTTGAGTTCACTAGCTCTGATCAGCTGCCTGTTGCTGTGAGTCAACAATTGGTTCAGAATTAGAGAGGTTTACCTGTTCTGCATACTAAGAGTACTCTGATTTTTTATAATCATGGTTGAATAGCTAACTCTGGAGCTAGGTGTGTGTATCTGGTGTAATAAGGGAGGATTGATGAGGCTGTAAGATATGTTTGTTGTTGACTGCAGGATATTGTTGCTGACTTTGATGAATGCTTTTGGATGGGCTTTTCTAGAAGTGAGGTATCAATGAAGGGGTTTTGTTTGAATGGTCTGATTGCAGAATAATCACAAGCTGGACAGAGAGAGAGGTACATAAAGTAGTTAAAAATGGCTTAAGTCCTTTTGAAGGATTAAAGCCATCCTTTTAATTTCAATTTTTTTAAATGATGTTTCTTTGTATTTCAGACATGTTGTGGGTTGATTATTGATAATAGATTATGTTCCAAATTATATTCCTTTCCTTTTACTTAATCTCTTATTTTCCATTTTATTGTTTATACCTAGTCTCCACAATTAGCTTAACATTCAAAGGCTACTTTAGTTGACTATACAAAAAAATTTCAATTACATGGCCCCCCACTTGCAAGTTCAAAAGCATAAATTGAATAAGAATACATAGTAATTTTTTTGATTACTATTCCTTTACCAAACTGCATAAGTTTACAGACAAAATACAATCTGAAATAAGTTCACAAAGGCAAAAGTTGTGTAATTGTCTCCCAAGTTGAATGAATACACAAAATGTGTACAATTCACAAATCATTTCTTCTAAGGCAGTGATTGAATTGTGCATAACAAATAAGCTTCACCACTGTGTCTTNCTCCCAAGTTGAATGAATACACAAAATGTGTACAATTCACAAATCATTTCTTCTAAAGCAGTGATTGAATTGTGCATAACAAATAAGCTTCACCACTGTGTCCTGTTGACGAAGCATAAAATAAATGTCCAAAACCAAGCGACTTCTGTTAGACAATTCATCAAACAGCTTGTGAACGTAATCCAATCTAGCTTTCCCCTCCTTACTTAAGTGTAGATTCACTTTCATGTCAATGAATTCACATATAAGACATCCTAACACAATAAAAATAATTAATTAATCATTAGTAAAAAATCTGTGCTTGAGAAATATGAGTATGCTATAACACTAAAACAACAAAGAAAAAACATATGGAGAGAAGTAAAAATGTATGGGATCCCGCAATTGTCACTGTCACTCCGGCGACTGCGAGTCTCTCTCCAGTGACTGTGATTTTGACGAATGGATGAACTGGGGAGTGGAATTGCTAGGTATTAGGGGAGAGGAAAGAAAAATCTGACTGTGTCCCTGCTCCAACGTTAATCTGTTGAAAGATGACTGTGTTCGTGGCCAGTGTCGATTGCCGAAGTTGTGAAATTTCGGCGACATTCTGGGTGTGTTCTGTGGGCGAGTTTTGGCGTAGGGAAGGGGAGGGTTACATTAGGGCTTTGGCTTTGGATGTGGCTATGGAGGAAACCCGATTTTTTGGGTTCAATTTTTTTTTTAACAGAAAGGGTGTAGGGAGGAGCTGATAAAGAAATCCTATGACTACTGATTGTGGTCGACGATGTTTGGTTTAGTGAAAGGGAAGGGAGAAAGCGACAGGGAAGGAAGAGGGAAGAGGGAAGGGTTGGGTTTGGAGAGAATAAAATATGATCTTTATTTAAAATCTGTTTTTTTTTTTTTTGAAAAGAAACTGATGACATGGTTGGTACACATCAACAACCACATCATCAAGTATGTATTTTAAGTTTACTTTTTAAGTCTGTCTCCATGAGAGTTAATCGGGTTAGACTCCTCTCTAATTTCACAAAATTGAAAAATCGTCCAACTTTGTTTCGAAAGGTGAGGTCTGTCAATATCAATAGTTCATTTTATTTTAAAATTTTAAAATTAAAAATAATTTTAGAATGAAATAAGTTTTGATGGCATGGAAATTGTAGAGGAGTCAAACAGTTAAATTCCATGTGGATCGATGAAATTTTAGGGATAATAGAGTGTGGAATAATTCTTTGGAGTTAGGTTATGAGAGATTTATCCTTCATAAATATTCTAATTTAAGTGTAGATGATTTGTTTTTGATCAGACTAAAAAAGAAATTTAATCGAAATACACGTAAATTAGTCAAAAACCCTGATCGTTAAAAAAAAAAGTGTGGAATAAGAAGTAATTATAATAATTTAAGGGTTTGCTTAATGAGAAAATAAAAAAAAAATGATGACAAGTTAGAATCAGTCAAAGTTTTCTTGTAGCATGCGATTGAAATTACATTTTTAGAATCTAAAAAAAAAAAAAGACTTTAATAAACTCATTTGACGGTCTCAAATGGACTTATCTAATGACCACTAATACTCCTCTCAAAATCATTCACATTAAATTTCTCTTCCCTAAATTCATCACTTCTCACTTACCGTAAATTTAGACACGAGTTACCCCTAATAAAATTATAACTGAGGACGTATGAAAAACTTGGTATTTTTCTAAATTGTCTTCACAACCAAAAAAATTAAATTGCACTTGAATATTTAAGGAAATTGCATATTTAATAGTTTCTCATAAAACTAGATTACTTTAAATTTTACACAGTATAGTCATTTCTAAAAATAGCAGTTCAGACCACACACGCGCGCACACACACACATATGTATATATATAATTAATCAAATTAGGTGAGTAACGACTCTACTCCTACAAGAAAATCCATCAANCGCGCACACACACACACATGTATATATATAATTAATCAAATTAGGTGAGTAACGACTCTACTCCTACAAGAAAATCCATCAAGAGCAATGCTATTGAGACATAATTTATTAACATAATTTATTGACCTAAGTCATTGTGACTTTTGGATTCACTATAGACCCTATCAAACATTGGAACTTGGTGTTGATCCAATGATTCCTATGAAGCCACATCATTATGTCAACAAATTAGGTTAGATTTTTATGTCAAAATAGTATTAGTCATCCATCAAGGGAGACTAAATTGTCTTTTTTTTAGGTGGACATTATCTTAGGGCGTATTTTTTTCTTTTTTTATTTTAGCCAATTCAATTTCTTCCTAGATGTTTTATGTGAAACCCAAGAAAACTAATTAGGCATTTTATTTTATGTCAGGGGTTTAGATACAAGTACTTATTTTAGTCATCATATATAAAATTAAAATAGTTGAAAAAAAAATATATTTACTTGTTTCAAATTGATAGGCCAAATTTTGGGGAAGGAATTCCTAAAGAGGAAAAAATTTTAAAACCCGAACAAGCATAACAAACATTTAATATTTTTAATAAGCATATTCATATGTGACACGCATCCGTAGGAGTAACAATCAGTATTTAATTATGAGTAATGATATGAGACCTAAACCTGAACAATGAAAATTCTAATATTCATAAATAATTTATAAATAATGATTATAGAGGGAATTGTTTTATTCAAGCGTAAAAAGTACAATAAGAATGCTGACAGATATGAGTTTATTTTTTTATTTACGTTAGCGCATGTGAAATTAATTGGGTGGAAAGCAAGTGACATCAATTTATTGTTATTAAAATAAAATGTGTTAATATATACAATGAGTGGTTAAGGGTCTAAAATACGAATTTAATGGGTGATCAATAATTTGGATATATATACATGTCTATGTATAAATATGCATATAAAGAAAAAGTGGACATATAANCTCTAAGATGTAGGAATCCAACTCTAATATGTATATTTTGAGTGTTGCATGTATTTAAAGTATGATATCTTTTAAGTATGATGCTTAGTAAGAATTTTGATTAATACATGAAGGATTTACTTCAATATTTATATGGGTTTGTAAATTAAGTTAATGTTGTTGCATGAAAAATAGAAGAATAGAATTATTGCATATAGGTTTGTTGGGATACTTGTTATGAATGCATTGTACCATAGGTGTTGGATGGAAAAATTAACATAGTAGTTTGGTGGGTAGCTTAGAAATCTTGTGAATTGTTCTTGAATTTTCATGAATCCATGAATATGAGTAATTACAAGTAAACATGTCATTTTATGCTTGAATAAAAAATTATGCAAATTTAAGTATATTTTTGTTATGTTTATAATTTTATGAAAAATTTTAAATTTGGNACACACTAGTAATAACCCGTGTCTGAAGGCACTAATTTAATTATACATATACATGTCTATGTATAAATATACTTTAAATANATGTTTATAATTTTATGAAAAATTTTAAATTTGGGTGTAATTGATTTGAATAAATATTTTCTAAACGGATTCAAGAAGATTAGCTAAATTTGATTCGAGTAGATAATTTTACTCGATGCGAATTGATTACTTAACATGACTCGAGTTGATTATCAAATTATTAGTTTAGTCAATTCGAATAGAATGTTATTTAATATAAATAAATTATTTAATTCGAATGGATATATTCATTAAATTAGGTTCGAGTAAACCATCTCGAACTTAAGTAGTATTACGTATTAATGTATGAATGAAATTGTGAATATCGATTATGCCAGGTCTGGAGANCGATGCGAATTAATTACTTAACTTGACTCGAGTTGATTATCAAATTATTAGTTTAATCAATTCAAATAGATAATATNCAAGCCATATAAAACCTGTTTCTTTTTGGTGATTTGGGTTGATTGATTTTGTACGGTCGTCGTCCTCTCTGTAATCATTCTTGAGAATAGTGAAACCCCTGCAGCTTCGTGGACGTAGGCAAATTGCCGANAAGGGATATAATCATTAAACTAGGTTCGGGTAAACCATCTCGAACTTAAGCGGTATTTACGTATCAATGTATGAATGAAACATCATGCAAGGTAAGTGCACCACCCTACAACTTTTTTGTGATAATTTATTAGATTTTTAAATATATATTTTTGCTACGATTATTGTTGAGAATAATTAATTGAGCAGAGACATACGGTAGTGTTTTGAGTGTCATTTAAGTGACGAGAGAGGATTATGTGAGTTGGATCATCTAAGTAACAAATGTACAATTGTGTTGACAACAAGAAATATATATATACACACACTAGTAATAACCCGTGTCTGAAGGCACTAATTTAATTATACATATACATGTCTATGTATAAATATGCATATATAGAAAAAGTGGATATATAAATATAAGTATGTATACGTATACATTATATAAGGAAATATATGTATGATTATATATGTGTGTGTGTGTGTGTAAATAATGATGGAAGTCTCCACTTAGCAAGACATGCCTTGCATGTCTTGCATGCAAAAAAAA